CTGCGCCGCGCCGAGGACCGGCTGTTTCTGTAGCCGAGCAATCATGGAATTAGACCGGAGGAGCCCTAATGATCCCTGCAGAAGGGAGCTGATTAGTAGCTTGCTCCAGGAGAAGGGTAAACGGTTTCATCTCTGAGCGCTCCTCGGATTTTAATGGCAATTTCATGAGCTGCTCTTCTTATTACCTGTGCAAGAAAAAAAATCAACAATGCTATAATAATAACAGCTCTTGCCGCAATGAGGGCAAGTTGTGGTCAGCAGTTGTGATGCATGAATCATGCTTTTTGTTAGCTATATTGGCAAAGGAATTGATCTTTTGGATCTGTTTCTTGGTGAAAAATGGAGTCTCCAAAGATGCCTTTCTCAAATCTCCCTTTCTCCTCTCTACAGGCACGCTCTCTCCGTTGTTTTCACTCCTCCTTTGGATAGCAGTGGCGTTTTGTACAGCAATGCTGTTTTTCATCTCCAAGCCTGTTGGCATTCGACCCTTTTTGGTGTCTGTTATTCTCAGGTCTATATATACTATAGGGCTCGGTCCTACCTTGATACTTCTTGGTGCTGCTAATGTAAGTACTTAAAAAGCAAGCAGAATTTCCCTTTCAGCAGAAGCAGAGATATTAAGGGTCTCCCATTAAAAAAAGCCCTTGGTTAGAGTTGTGCAAAGAACTTCTTTTTCTGGCTCACTGGGTAAGCAAAAAAAAAAAAAAAAAAAAATCATTTCCAGTCATCCTCAAACAGCAGTATCAGCAAAGTGGGAAGTTAAGAAAAAAAGATGTTTTGGTTTTGTGCATATGCAAATATTTTAAAAATAAAAACAATATGAAATGTAAAGAAATATTGCTGAATAAGGGCAATCAAATTTACAGTTTCTCATGTTAAAAGACTAATTTTCTCTACCAATTTGCTCAGCAAAATTGACACGTATTTGTGAGATGTTTCTGTGAGCTTAAATATGGTTTTGAGAAGAAAAAAGTTTTCAAAATTAAAAACTCTCTTGGCCCTTTTCCAGATCTATTAACTTAGACATGAGTAAGTTTGCCTGTTTACTGAGCTTGGTAAGATATACAGTCATGCTTAAAAGTCATCTGTTTAGATTTCTGCCTGACTGTTACAGCTTTAATTCACCTGAGCACCAGGCAGCAAAGTGTTGGGCTGTTTGCCACCAGTTCTGTGGCAAAACCTACCCAGACATATAGTCAAAGATAACAGCAAGTGAGCAGCACTTGCCCGTGTCAAATTTGTTAAAGAAAAAACATGTTGAGTCCTCATTGTTTGGTGCTGGGCTACCAAGTGGATGAGGTTAGCCCTTTTCGTATTTACTTCTGCACCACTGTTCATGTGCAGGCAAAGCTCAGGAGCAATGGGGAATCTGATGCTGCTGCTTAAATACTTCAAAAATGCCCCCGGTATTATTTTTTCTTTACGGATTTTATATTGAAAAACATGATCTGAAGGAAATGGTAGGTCTCGCACACGCACCTCCTGTTGTGTTACTGTTGTTCGCTTTGTAGTAGCATGCCCAGCTGATCTTACATGGTCTTGGGTCTAAACTCAAAATTGTTAGGAATTCACTCCCCAGTCGTTTTTTTAATGCCTTATGACATTAATCCCGCCCTACCTACTCACTGATGTTACAGAAGGAAATCACAATGTGATGAGGCACAGTGCAGCGTTAGAGGGGTGATGTACTGCCACTTACTCTCGTGGGCTCGTTCCCAGTGTACTTCCCTTGGGAGTTCCATTTCTTTCATCTGACCCCAGCTACCTAAAAGTTGAACGTTTAGTCAAAGCAACCTGTCTACACTTTCTGCACACTGCAGCAATGCAAACAATAACAGGACTTTTCCTGATGGAATAAACCTAGCCTTTGTTACTCCTCCACAGCTTTGTAACAAAATAGTGTTTCTGGTGAGCTTTGTTGGGAACCGTGGAACTTTCACCCGTGGCTACAGAGCGGTCATCATGGACATGGCTTTTCTCTATCACGTAGCATATGTCCTGGTCTGCATGCTGGGCCTCTGCGTGCACGAGTTCTTCTATAGTTTCCTGGTAAGTATGTGCTTCTGTGGAGGGGAAAACTTTGCAAAAATAGAAAATACCGTTACCCTTGCAGCTGTCTTCAATTTCTTCCTGACAATCAAGCCAAATCATGTTGTATTTTTAGCATGCCGTTGTGTTGCTGCCCCTTAGGAGCTGCTGTTTTCATTAGAACCTGTTTCTGCTAGGACTTACTTTTAGAGTTGAAGTTTGCTCATTTCTTTTCAGACAATCATCATACAGCCCACTCCTTTCTCCCACCCTTCCCCAGCACACATATATTCTGTGTGTATTGTTCCTGTATCTAGTGTCAGTCATAATCTCTTTGGGACAGGAGTTGTCCATCATACTTATACCACAGGATCCCATTCCTCACTTCATCTTGCAGCCCTAATAAAATAAAAATATATGTATATATTACTTGGGAAATAGGGACGGCATGCCTCTGGTGTAGCAGAGAGATGCATCACTTCAAATGTATCCCGCTTTCATTTTCTTTTGTTGCCATTACCCAGATGGGATGCCTTTTTATAATATGATACAGGTGCAATGAAAATGAATCATACAGAATTATGCTAAATTCAGCTAACTGCTCCCTTCATGCTGAATAGCAGTAAAAGGTGTTCCACTGCACTTGTTTTCTAATCCTTTCGCTTTATACTGAGGCATGTGAAACTTGCAGGGAGACTGACTAAATCGTGGCCATTTACATGGGCTCACTTTCCTGTTGTATTTTTCTCAGCTTCCTGAAGAGTGGTGATCTCCCAACGTTGCACAGAGGTGTGCTAAGCGCATGAAAATTTTCAGGAGTTCAGTCCTTACTCTGGTAGAACTCCTGTTGAAGTCAGGTTTTCCAGATCTTGACATTAAAGTCAGCTTCAAAGTTTGGGCAGATTTCAAAGGAGCCAAGATTTTGTGGCTGTAGCTGCAGAACACTTTTCAAATGGATGTTACTCTCCTGCTTAAAAAATGAACAGCAAATTACCTGTTATTCCTCAATGAGTAAGAAGACCTCTACCTTAAAATACTTTCCAAAGTGCCAAGTAGTTTAAGACACATTTTATGTACTTAATTTTTCAGTGATGGCTGTTGACAGATGTCCATGATTCGTGGATGTTATAATTGTCCATGTTCCCAAGTTACTTCCAGGTGTTCACTTTGTAGTGCAAATATTCTAAACTCTAATATTTTTTTCCTCATTTTAAGCTTTGTCTTGTACAGAATGAATGATAACTGTCTTTCCTCTTCCTTCCTTTGTTATTAATCCTTTCACAAGGCTGTGGATTTCAGATCTTGTGAATTGTGACTAATACCTTCTTCTGTGGACCGTTTTGATAAATCATAGTGTGTCACTTTATATCTGTAATCTGTGTGTTTTGAAGTGGAAATACATACATTATAGATAAAGTCCAAAGCACTACAGAACATCAATAGAATTGCAAGAGAAAAAAAGCTATAGGTTCCTTAAAAACTCTTGGCACATTTAATTGCTATTTCAGGCCTTTGACATTTAAAGCAGTATTATCTTAATGTATACTTTTCTTTAAAGTTAAATACCAGGAAAGCATATGGTGCAGGGTGAAGAAGAATAGATGTTTCTAGTTTTACACAAACAGTGAAATGAATTTAACTTTGTCCTAAAAGAGATGGCCCCAATCCTTGTACATGTGAGTGACTTTTAAATGATGGTATGAGCTCAAAGAAACAGTTTACAGACATGTAATTACTTGCATACATGAGTGCATTTTTGAGTTGTAGCCCATGCATGTTCATCAGATGTGAGATAACATGAAAAATTAATTTGTAGCTGTAGATCCATAGTATGAAGACACTTTTTAAATTTTAATTTAGGCTGGTTTTGAACATGGAGAAACAATGGATCTTGTTGGTAACCATTACCCACGTCTGGATCAGGCTCATACGTAATGTATACTTAGTAGCTTTGGATTTTGCTATGATCTGTCTTAAAGTTCTGTGCTAAATTCCTCCTATAAGCATGCCCAGCTCCCACTGAAATCCATGTGAATTGTCTGTTTATGAAGCTGGGAATTTAGAACGTGGCTAGATGTATGTTTCAGTAGATTGTTTTCCCATGTGGCATCTATATATTGCCTCATTTGTATTTGTTTTTTCTCTACTCTATGCTTTTCCCAGCTGTTTGATCTGGTGTACAGAGAAGAGACGTTGCTAAATGTGATAAAAAGTGTAACCCGGAATGGTCGTTCCATTATCCTCACTGCAGTGCTAGCACTCATCCTAGTTTACCTCTTCTCCATCATTGGGTTCCTCTTCTTGAAAGATGACTTTATCATGGAGGTCGACAGGTTGAAAATCAGGTCCCCTGTTGCAGGTATTGTTTTTTATATTATAATTTGCTTCCAACATATACCTTTTCTGTCTGCCTAACCTAACTTTCATCTAAGGAAATTCAATTTTTAATTTGTATCTGTGGGAGCAGAACTAACTCCATATACCTTAGGACTCAATTACTGTCTGGATAAAATCTAATGTGTAGGCTTGTGTTAGACTAGGCTTATCTCTTGAAATACTAAAATCTAACACTCACATTTGATTTATTATGTTTTCTTTTTGAACTCGTGCTAACATTAAAATAAGAATATTCTACAATTTCTAGGTATTTGAAAGAGCAACTCAAAGTGGATTCTTTTGGTTCTCATCCCACCATAAAAGCAGCTTATAGTATTTCTACCTAGTGCATGAGGCATGTGATCTTAACATGTTTAGTAGATGTATTCATTTGATTACTTTTTAAGCTTCATTGAGCGGAAATTTATTACAGAATCCACACTTCTGCTGATAGGAGATTTCCTGGAGCATCTTTTAAATTCAGTGTGCGTTTCACGAACATCACTGTTAGTGTGTAATCCTGGCTTCAGTAAAATCATTGTGAGGTTTTTAACCAGTTTTAAAAAGGCCAGGATTTCAGTTTTCTGGAACGAGAGATTTTACCGATATGGATAGAGAGTTACAAACTTGCTTTGCTAGAAGAATGCCAGATTTGGTGTGCGGAGATCTTTGTATATGCTGCCAAGCAGCCTGCTGGGAGCACGGGCAGAGAAGTAACCGTCTGCATAGAAATACCCGAGGATAGCTGGTGATTAAGTTCACAGAGGCGTAATTTTCCCAAACGCTGGGCTCTTCAGACCTGTACACAAGCACAGAGCAACTAGTGGGATCCACCCCGGACTGTGTGCACTCGGCATTTGCCAGCCTTTTCCTAACCTTGTTATTTCAGGAAAAATAAAGCAACGCAAACAAGGTCATTGGAGACTCGTGGGCGTGATGTACTCATGTAGCTGTTTTGATGCGGTATGAAAAAAAAGGAACCTGGTGGATTTCTTTAACACACCTTTCTTTTTTCCCCAACAAGGGCTAAGTTGGTTTGTATTTGACTTACCATTCATTTTTGGGACAGAACTTACAATGTGAAGTTTCGCTTTGAAAGGTAACTGTGACCATCTCAGAAGAACAGATGCGAGGCTGCACGCGGCACTGGTCTGGTCCAGTGCAGCAGTTCCTGTGTGTTTGTGTTTCTTCTGTTGGGTTCTTGGCAGATTTTTGTGATGTGGGTATATTCTTGCTGGCTTTATACATTGCCATTCCTGATCAAAAACTCATCAAGAAAATATGCTGATGATATAACGTTATGCATCCCAAGACAAGTGCTTTAAATTTTTTCTTTTTAAAGTAGCACAAAGAGAAAGACAGAGAGGATGTTTTCTGTGTTACACAGATTGTCTTAGACTGTTACTTTGGTTGTATGATTTTGCCGTCATTTTTTTCCTCCTTAAACCTTTTTGTAGCTCTGATTTGAAATGCAGAAAATTGTTGAAGATGCACAAGATAAAGTTGGTTTGATAAAATCGAGCTGATGTACACATTTACCCACTTCGGGAATGTTAAATTAGTGTTTTACACAAACCCGTACATATTTACAAATGAGTACCAAACTGTGTTATAATCCTTGAAAACTCTTAAATATTCTACATTCAGGGTAACTGAACGTCAGCTTGATGTCCTTCTTGTCAGCTTTTGTGAATAATTTATTTAATGGTTTTAAAACTGACATTATTTTCATATCTGACAGTTGTTTCTTGCTTTGAATGTATTTTGTTCTAACCAGAAGTAGCAGCATTTGATGTAGATTCATTAATTTCAGGAGATGAAGTGGGAATAGCTGTGATATACAGTAAATATAAAACTAAAACTGTGTTTTGGTCCTTGTGATTGCTTTGAGCTGTTGAAGGCACACCGAGGAAGGAGGAATTGGTGGTGTAATTTGTTCTGCTTTTTCTTCTCAACTTTTCAAATCCACAGTATCTGTCTTTTTTTCAATATCCTGCTTTTTCCACAGGTATTGGTGAAGTCCCCACTACAACCCTCACATCAATGATGGGAGCCTGTGCAAAAGAGAACTGTTCCACAAGCATCCCAATTATCAACCCAGGTTAGTACAAAAGTTCCCCCAAACTGATGGTCAGTTAGAACTGCGGGATTTGTGTGGTGGTATTATTATTGGGGATGCTTTTGCTAGCGTGAAGAGTGATGATCATTGCTGTTAAGTCGGAAGTGCTCAGCTTCCGCAAGGCGTGGGGCTTAGTTGGCGACTTGCCTTTAATGCGAGTGCTTCCCACACCTGATTTCCAGTTGCACTGATTGTTATTGCAAGAGCTTGCTGAGTCATTAGGCGTGAGCGTGCAGGTTGCTTCTTTCTAACTGGCTTTGCTGAGAGAAGCAGCTTGCTCCTTACCTGCAGCATCCTCACCTGCACGCGGCGAGCCGCTATTCCATCCATTCAGGGCCACGTTTAGGGTTGGTGTTAATGGCGTAGCACGTATCAGCAAGCTTTTGCCTATCCTTTTTGCATGCTTCCAGGCCAAGGTTGTAGTGTAGCCAGAAGACCTCAGAGCCCAGATCCAGGATCAAGTTACTGTGTCTTAACGAGTTACTGTGGCTCAGCTAAGCGTGGGCAGCAGTCCGTCTGTGCGTCCTCAGCTTGTGGCAAGTGCGAGGAAATGCGGACTGTTGCAAGCCTTGCTTGCGATAGGTGAGTTGTGTTGCTTCGTGCTTGTGGCAAGTGAAGAGCTTAATTGCTGTGATTCAGCAGATGAGTCCACCTGGCTTTACTTTGATACCCACATTATGAATTTGATCTATATGTCCAAAGGACCCTGTCAACTTCAAATATGCTCAGTTAAAATAAAAGGACTGCTGCGGCAGTTACCAGATACCAGTTACCAGATATTGGGTCAGGAAGGAATTTTTCCTAGATCAAACTGGCAGAGTGCTTTGCCCTCTTCTTGCCCTCTTGCCTCTAGTTTGAGGCTACAGGGTCACTCAGGAGTTTTGTTGGCCAGATGCATTGCTTTCAGGGACCTCTGATGGTTGGTCTTACTCCATCTCTCCTACTCAGTTCCTGTGGCACCCTCCGGTTGTGGTTGGTCTTTCATGACAGATGTTCAGTTTGGTTTGGTGTGTTGTGGCCTCTGCAGTGTGGCTGTGTGCACAGTGGATGGTCTACAGGCTTCAAATATTTACTGCCACAGTTGCCTGTGGTTGCTGGGGGCTGAAACTGAGGATATAAGTGGTCCCTTCCTATCCCGTGTTCCAGTATAACGCTGTTTCACATGCTTTATTCTTCCACTACTCATTTTTGAGTCTTTAGGATCAAGAGTTTCAGGGAGAGAGAGGGCTATAAAACTAGGCTTTTTCTCCCCAGCTGGTGTGTAAACAGGCCTCATAAACAACATGGGAAGCTGTCTGACTAGATACAGAAAACAGTCTAAGAGCTATTGGCAAAGCTGCTGCATTCAAAGAGTAATCAATCAGTCAAAAGAGACGCAGTGTGGCTTTTGCCAAGCTCTTTAAACGACAGAAATCTAACATTGCTTATTGTTTGGATAGTGTTTCTTTAAAATTAAACAATAATGAAAGGGGGCTATACAAAACATCTAAGTGTGCTGTCACTTAATCTTGGAGAATTGTAATTTATGCAGTAACACTAGAAAAAAAAAACATTTAGCAAGAACAGTTTTGCTCGTCTTAGCCAACGGATCACCTGTCAAAAAGTACTGCTCTGCCTTCTGTCTTCTGCTGGGACAGATCTCCTTTTTGGCAAAAGTGTGAGCGTGGTGGAATGCAAAGGCCTAAGATTTGGTGGGATTCATGCTGTAGCAGCGTGAAGAAGTCCACAGCTGTCTGTAGGAAACATAAAATGTTCTCAATGGCACCTCAGGTCCAGAGTGGAGACATAAATATGTTACTTTTCAGATCAGATCGCTGCTAATCATTTGTTGTGGTGAGACCGTGCTTCTGCCTTGAGTTTCACTGGTTGAACATGTGCTCAGGCGTTGCTCATGTTGGTGAGGGAGTTAACTTGGGAGCCAGTCTGCTCTGCTCAGGGAGCATCCCCTGTCTACAGCCTGCTTCCTCGCTGCTGCACTGAGCTGTCAGCATAAAAATATTTTGGCTCATCTCCCTCAGAGTCTCTCACTCTTCACTCCAGTGGCATTTCCCTATCACTTAAGTCTTTGCCTGGTGAAGCACTTAATCATTTAAAGGAACTTCACACCCTGCGGTACGTGGCTCTTTGTGCTCTGTAGCCCGTAAAGACTTGTGCTAGAAAAGTGCACAGATGCCTGTTTGTGAAAGGGGACATTTTCAAAGACTCCTTCCACTCCCAGGTCTGGTGCCGCTCTGTGCAAGTGCAGCGAGACCCACGTGGACACTCATGTGTCTCCCGTGCCTGTGCTTCTGTTGGAGATCAGGCCCAGACGCCAGGTAGCTGGGGGCCATCAGATGAGGATCTTTGAAGTACATCTTCCTGTCATCCCGCTTGCTGCCCTGTGATTAACATTGTGGAGTGGTCTTAGTGCTTAACCTGCATTACCTTTGAATTAAACTTAATCAGAAGATACCTACCTAATGCTGTCTATCCACTAATGGGCCGCTCATCAGGCTGGAGCTGGTTGCAAATAAAAACCCCTGAACCTCAATTAGCATCGACATTGGGTTCTTAGCAACGTTGCACTCTACAGATCCGCTCCTTTTGGTAGTGTGAGCATCATCTGTTGTCAACAGGGGCCGAGTCTGAGCTATGGGTGCTGCTGAGCACCAGGGCAAAGCAGCTGAGGCAGAACATGTGCCTGTGGGGTTATCCAGCTCCTGGATTGAAGGTAGCTCTTATTTCTCCACGTCTGGGAGTGGAATTAGGGTAGACACACGGGTGTCTCCACACTCCCCACTGCTTGCATTACTGCACTGGAGGTTTCTGCCAACTTCAGGCTGTCTGCTGTCTGATTCTCTGGCAAAGAGCGACCTGAGCTTGCTCTTTTGGGTGCAATGCGGGATGCTGATTCTCTGTGTTGTAAGATGTGCCAGTTAGCTGATGAGCAGTATCTTGCGTCTCTCTGAAGCATGGGCTTGCTCTGAATTTGCATCTTGGTGGACGTGGAGAGTTGCAAAGCTGGGTTTCTAGCAGATAACTTTCTCTGGTGTTGTGGCTTCCAGTTTGTAGCCCTGGTTTATCCTCACCCTTCACCAGGATCTGACCATCTGCTATTTCGACATTGGGTTCTTAGCAACGTTGCACTCTACAGATCCGCTCCTTTTGGTAGTGTGCACCTGCCCCTGGTCTAACAGGGGCCGAGTCTGAGCTATGGGTGCTGCTGAGCACCAGGGCAAAGCAGCTGAGGCAGAACATGTGCCTGTGGGGTTATCCAGCTCCTGGATTGAAGGTAGCTCTTATTTCTCCACGTCTGGGAGTGGAATTAGGGTAGACACACGGGTGTCTCCACACTCCCCACTGCTTGCATTACTGCACTGGAGGTTTCTGCCAACTTCAGGCTGTCTGCTGTCTGATTCTCTGGCAAAGAGCGACCTGAGCTTGCTCTTTTGGGTGCAATGCGGGATGCTGATTCTCTGTGTTGTAAGATGTGCCAGTTAGCTGATGAGCAGTATCTTGCGTCTCTCTGAAGCATGGGCTTGCTCTGAATTTGCATCTTGGTGGACGTGGAGAGTTGCAAAGCTGGGTTTCTAGCAGATAACTTTCTCTGGTGTTGTGGCTTCCAGTTTGTAGCCCTGGTTTATCCTCACCCTTCACCAGGATCTGACCATCTGCTATTTCCAGCACCTGCCCTGGTCTTGTGAGCAGTGAAAATCTTGTTCTGTAGTTGCCTAAATAAAATAGAAGCTGCAGCTTGTAGAAAGGTTTTTAATTTGTCTTGTGGCACAGATACTAGCTCAAAAAAAATTTGATGGAGTAACGTTTGGAAGAAGGAAATAAAGGCAGCATACAAAAGCAGAGGAGATGAATTGGTATGACTAAGATCACAGTGCTAGTAAAAAATTTCCAGATGTGACAGAGAAAAAAAGGTTTTATTGTTTCAAACCTTTCAGTTTCAATATTTAAGCATTTTTTTTAAAAATCTGGAGTTATTCCTGGTAGTAGTGTCTGTAATGACCGTATAGCTTAACAGGGAAGATTATCCTGATGTCTGCTTTTGCTTTTCTTTTTACTCAGAGTTCCTTAAATCAGGAGTTCTTTCTCATTTAATTTGCTTGTGTAGCAAAAGCGGTTGTGGCAAAGGCAGCAGATACCAGCTCCATTCTGCAAATACCAATCGTGATGCATGCACCGCAATTTGGGAACCCATGTTTTAAATCCAAATTGCTTGTCTGTAATGTGAGTGCTTTCAGTCAATTCAATTTATCAAAGTCTATCTCAGTGCCCCAGATGTGGTGGTTTGGGGATGTTAAATATGCTGTTTCAGTTAACTATCACAGCAGGATGTTGTTATTTATTAAACTACGTTACAATAAGTGCATGAAGCAAACCAAGTGAGTATCGCTGCCTCACCGCTTAAGCAAACGTCTCCCTAAAGAGAAGGGAAGGCAGGAGCAACGGCAGTCACAGCCCTGACCCTTCAGTGCGAGCCAGCAGGACACAGGGAACAACTCAAGCAGGGCTCTTCAAAAGACGCCTGTTGATGCAGCCGCAGCATGGCGGGGGTGAGTGCGTGGTGGGAGGAATTCTGGCCGGGGCGGACGAAGTCCCCCCGGGGACTGGTGTTCCAGCCCAGCTCCTCTGCACGTTCAAGTATCTCCTGCACAATAGTACCCTCTGTGGCTCGGCCAAAACCACGCAGCAGCTCTGCAGCAGAGATAAGAATAGAATCCAAGTTTTCAAGCTGAGGTCAGGGAGAGTCTTTCATTTAATGTGTATCAGACCTGCGCTTGGGCACGTGTGCAAGTGGAAAGATCATGGCCAGATTTACTCGTAGAAAAGCCAGCCCCTCCGTAATGATTTGAAATGCTAACATGACTTGGCTTGCACATGAGTAGGTAGAGGAATGATTTCACAGGAAGGCGGTTCTTTTACAAATGTGCTTCTAATTCTGTGTTTATATGGCTTCTCCTGTATGTGTCAGCTGCGCACAGGAGGCCCACTGGAAAAGGAGTCGTGCTGAAACCGGAGGGAGTGCTTGCAAGGAAAAGGGGCACTCCCGTGCATAGCGATGGCAGCTCCGGGTCATTAACAGAGTTACTGGTGGGAGAACTGCTTGGGATTTTCTCTGTCTCTCTCCAGGCTAAGTAAGCCCGATGTGCCTAAGTGTGTCACCAGCAGTGATGTGCAAATGGATAGGGATGATCAGTGAAATTCTAGTTGAAGAATATGCAAGGCAGATGTGTGTGGCAGTTGCTTTAATAATACAGAATTGTGGCTTTGTTTGATGAGTGATCGCTTGATGCTGAATTGGTGGTTCTCCTGTTTGCAGGTGAAGAGGAGGAGGATGGAATAGAAAGGACCTGTGACACCCTGCTCATGTGCATTGTGACCGTACTAAACCAAGGCCTGCGAAATGGTGGTGGTGTGGGAGACGTGCTCAGAAAGCCTTCCAAAGATGTAAGTGTTTTGGCTGAAGAAATGCATTACTCCCTGTGCATCTCATGAATGCCAAAGTCAGTTTTTGGAGGTTATAGACAGTATTTGTATGTAGTCTGCTTTAACGTCACACAGTTGATTTATCCATGTAATTTTTACATCCCAGATGGAATATTTAATGGAAAGAGCGGGTTCTTAGCAACGTTGCATACTTGGAATATTGGTGTGATGATGATACTTGGAATAAAGTAACTCTAGGTTGTAGTTTACGCCTTCTGAAAAGCATATTGTAACCTTCCAAGCACTGCTAAGAAGTGTTGCTGGACCAGATCACTCTTCTATTACATGAGGAATTATAAATGCAAACTTTTGAAAGGGATTAATTGATGAGTATATGTCAAGACTCTCCACTGTAGTACATAAGGTGTAATTTTAGTTGAAATTCAGCATGGCATCTGCCCTGGAATAGGTCCTATTGTTTACTTGTACGCAACTAGCATTGAAGTCAAAACAGAATTTCATATGTCGTGGTCTTTGTCCCCTTCCAGAAGTTTCCTCCAAAATTCAGTTCATTTAAGGACTACTCATAATATTTGTGTGGTTTTATGCATTTTTTTTTTTTAAGTTCAAAAAGAACATTCTAAATCAAGACAACCTAGCGGCACTTTGCTTTGTGACCCACACCAGAACACAGGATTAAATTTACAAGTAGGATCTCAACAGGGCTTGCAAGAGTCCAGAGATGAATAACTCAGATCTGGATGGAAGAGCTTCTTGTGCTGGTAGTAGGAATCTAGGTCCTATATCATAGACTGAGAGGTTCTACAGGAACCATAGTCCATCCCCATAAAGTCTGTAAACACTTATAGATTTTGAAAATTACCCTTGACACTTAGCGGTTATTTAACGCTAACTACGTTAAAGCACTTCGCAAAGGGTAGCACTATTATCCCAATGAATGTGTGGAAAACTGAGAAAATCAGTGATTTCCAACTCAGTATCATGGTGAAGCAAAGGACTTGGGTTTTGTGTTCCTCCTCCTTGCACTGAGCGTTGTCTCCTGTTCGCCACAGAACAACTTTGCTATTTTTAGAGGTGTCAGTGGGAGTCCAGTCCAGCCTTTAAGAAGGAAAGTAGCTACGATGTAAAAACAAGAGTGTGTTGAAATGGGGAATATGAGCACTTCATGTGTATGTGCATGCGTGTGTGTATGTGTGTGTGCATGTGCATGTTGTGTTCCCGAAAGAAAGGAGCTTGGTCTGCCTGCTCTGAGCCAGCTTACAGCCGTACGACTGCATTAGCACCCTGCTAAAATCAGTAACATGCCCTGCTTGGGCACAGGGTATAGTAACCTGGCCTTGGCATCACGCAGGCATGCTCCCCTGGTTTCCAGTTGTTCGGTGTGAAAACTTGGTGTTAGCCTGGAATATTCCACAAAGACATATCGTAAGCGTATCCCTGTGGGCCAGAAGGTAGTATTAAGAAGAGCTATCATTGCTTTCAGTGGGTACTAGAAACTGTTTTTTGTACTGGCAAGGTAATTGTATTCAATTGAGCACTACACTAATGCATCTACGGTGCATCCGGTATACAAGCTAGTCTCTTCTTCGTGCTGCGTGAAACAACGTAAAGGACAACAGGAGTCCCAGAGCGATGAGAGCACATGAAGCCAAATCTTCTTTGCTTAGTCACATACGTAGTCGCTCTCTATTTCTGTGAGTCAGGCTAGCAGAATTTGGCACATGAAAAGAAAAGTGCGTAGCTTTGCTTGAGCTAATGTGAAAATGTTGTTTAATATTTTAGAGGTGTGCTATTTTTATATCTTATTGCAACCTTATTATTGTTTCAGGAGCCCTTGTTTGCTGCGCGAGTTGTTTACGATCTTCTGTTTTACTTCATTGTCATAATTATTGTTCTAAACCTAATCTTTGGAGTCATCATTGATACATTTGCTGATCTCAGGAGTGAAAAGCAGAAGAAGGAGGAAATACTAAAGACAACTTGTTTCATCTGTGGTAGGTGTTACTGAGCTGTTGAGCCATTTGATGGGGAAAGGAGTAAAATGAACTATTCCTCAATAAATAAAGCGTGGACCTAAAGGGTGGTTGTCTTCTACAAGGAAAGTCTGTAAAAATATCAGAGTTTGGTTCCAATTTATTCCCTCTCAGTAGGAAAAAGATTTGGTTTAGGAGTCAAAAGCTAGCTTTGTTAAGAGATGGCTTCACAGTCTCCACCCAGGATCTGAGGGAGAAGAGCCGTGTCTCACGCTCGCATCGTCACCACTAATGGAGATGGTGCAGCTGCTGACTTTATTTCACAAAGCGTGATGCAGATGAAAGTACAGCTTGCTATTTCACAGCACAGTGCATTCCAGAAGGGTAACAACGGCAAAACCCGCCTGTTTCACAAGGTGATACGAAACAGGGAACAAAAGAATTAAATGAAAATCATCCCCACAAAACCCACGGATAAATCACGCTTATTTTGAGGAGCACTCACAAAGGGCACAGACCTTCACTCCCCTAGGGGACTTTAGAAATACCTTCTTTTTAGTAGGCTGGGTGTTGTTTCCATGGTTGTACTGACAGGGATGAACGTTGTGCAGAGCACAACAGCTGTGGTGTCTGCGGAAGGCTCCACAAGGGGTGCACGGAGGAAAGCTGTAACACGGAGGCAAACACTTGTGAATCCTGTCCTTCCTTACTGTGGTATTCTTCTTCAGAGATTTGACCCGTTAGAGGAAAAAAAGAAAAATTCTTACGACTACAGCTCTGTAAAGACTGTGTGACTGCGAAGCTGCAGAGACTCACCCTCTCTCCTACGTTTAAGCGCACAAACAATCCCACCGCAGCTTAAGTGGGACTATTCCCATGCTCGATGCTAAACGTGTGCATAAATCTTTGCAAGATCAGGACCTAGATTGCACGCTGTGTGCTTACCAGTATACATTTAGAAAGAATCGGAGCCAACACTTGTAAAGCGCTTTATAGCCCTCAGCATAGAAGGCACTGTAAAACTGTAACATATTTATTATATTGTTATTGTTATTAAGAGGAAATATCACAAAAGAGAAT